GAACTGGTCAGTTTAGCGTGCTAGCTAGTTAGGCTATCATGCTAGCTAACTTGGGACAGCATTACAGACATGGCTCACGGCGCTACATTTTGTGGACATGTTTTTGGTGGTTTTGGTCACGATTTTACAGGGTTCTCCCTTGAAAAGTTGTTGGCCTGGGGACACGGTGCTCGACCAGCTGCGCTCTCTCGACGAGGGGGAGGGGGAATTACTTCGGTTTTGTGAAGCCCACTTCTGCCACACAGGTGCTTTGCTGTGCTGCGACACACTTTCTCTCGGACATCCTCAAGTGCAGCCGAGGTCGAATGAGGAAAATGTGACAAGACAGGGAATCATAGCTAAGCAGCAACAAGCACACTGGTCATGTGCTAAAAAATATCCCATACGTGGTGGAATTAGTGACTTTAGAGCGAGTCTAATACACTTAACATTATTTTGTCACTATCATATTCTGACATATTTTTACAGTAACTTATATTTCTGTCATTAGTTTTAAACTGGTCTCTTATGTCTCTATCCAATGTGGTGTCCTTGATGATTAAGGCTTTGGGCATGAAACAAGGTACCAGTACTGTGTTGAGTTAGTGTCGCATATCAACATGACCAGGCCTGCTGTGTATCTCAGTATTAACGTTATGTTGGCTTGTTTATGTGCCGTTTTTCTGTGTGGGGATAAAACATGCTATCAATATGAAGATTTAAGCCAAATTCAGATTTAATGTTGTATGTTTATGTTTTAACAATTTCTTTATGTATTTCACAGAATATTAAAGGACGTTCACTCTCAGCAAGTTGACATCAACAGTTGACACAAGGTAAAATCAACTTAGTACTGTTATAGTTTAATTAACTTGACATACATTTGAAGTCATAGTTTGTGTTGCTGTCAATAGTACATTATACTGGGAGGACTACTGCATTAATTGTTTTAGCAAGGTACCTCATCTTGATCATGTTTTTTTTTATTGTCTTTTGTTTCAGATCAATGAGGAGTTCAGAAGAATAACCACAGTTCATCTGGAGCGAAACTTTTTGTCGAAGTTGGACAATTGCACTACCAACTTTCTGGAGATACTTGGGACAAAGGGCGGAGTTGCAGGAACCAAGACCCATGCTGGAATCACCCAGCCTGGTAAAGTTTAGATATCTAATGTTATATAAAATTATGTTGGGCTCATATACACTGAGAATAGATACATAATGACACATTTGAACACATTCAATATTTTTGTTTGTTTCCCCCACTATCGTCATTTTTTGAGAACACATCAGACTCGAAGATGTAAAAGTGAACATTAGTAAATTTGAATTTCAAAGAAGTCATTGAAGAGGACTATGCTCAACATGTCATGAAGATCCTTGTCATCCATGGAAATGCAACACAGAAAGGCTTCACTCCTGACAATCGTGTTCGTCGTCAGAGGGAAAAGAGGTTCTTGATGACTGTCAAAGTGTGGCAAAGGCTTGCCTTCTGCTCATGGGCTTCATCTATGTGTATCTAAGTGTTGTCAAGCAATACCCATCGTTTCAAATTAAAAGTGTTTGTTAAATGACTAAACGTTTGTGTTCTTAAATTTCTTATTGGCAGCACTGATTTAGAAATGTTTTGTCTGGCAATGCCAACCAGATTATATATGTTGGTATTTATGTCTGTCAGCAGTGACCTCTTTCACCAGTTAACAAGTAAAGCTGCTGTAGTTTAAAAGATGTTTTGTAGAAGCCTTATGTTAAGACAATTTTATTAAATTAACAGTAGCCCAGTTTAAAAAAAAAAAAAAATGCAACATTCATATTTGAACAGTTGTGTAGAGTAGTAGTAGTAGATAAAAGATATATTGTGTAAATATTACTTAATATTTCTCAATTGAAAAAGTAAAGAAAAGCTAGTTAAATATACATGAAACACCTAATTGAGTTTTACTGGGGTTTTGTAATTAGATGCAAAGGTAGCCTGAGTAAAGATTACTATCAAAGGCTAAGTACATTTTATGTCTAAGGAAGACATTTGCAAGTAAAAGTTACTTGAAAATTTTGGATAAAAAACAATTCTTACTAGTAAGCAAACTTAACTTCAGAATTTCTGAGTGCAAATTGTTACCTAGCTTTTTTTCAAGTAAATGTCACTTATTTTTTTTTTTTTCAGTGCAACAAAGAACAGTATCCTCACATTAGACAGGATCTGTCACCCTGTCTGCTTTCACAAGGTCCTTCTCAGTTCACTTTGCTGCCATCAACCATCAACATTCATTTTAGGGCACAAAGCCAACCAGTGATTTCAGAATGTTTGAATAATACTGTTGTTACCAAGGTTAGGGTTTGATTATTCCCATCACAACCTCACATTTTGTTGGTTTATTGTCCTAGACATCAAATACAACTAAGATTAATTTATGCCACTGACATAATGATGACATAACAGTATAATAAATCAACTACAGCCTTTCAAGAGAAATTAACTTAATTCTGAAGGAGAATAGTGAGACATTGGAGTTGGAATGGGAAAAAAACATTGAAATATCCTAAACAAATAAAACAAAACAATGAATAAAATAGACTCGGCTCCGTTGACAAAAATGTGCAATGCTGCACAACACCAAGTCTTATAATGGCATATTATTCTGGCATGTTCAGTTTAATATGATATGAAACAGAGGAGAGCATGAAATCTCCATATTTGAGATGCTGAAAACAGCTTTTTCTGCCCTTTTTGCAAGAACAAGGACTTTAACGACGAATCGATTATCAAAATAGCTGGCGATTAATATTCTGTCAAATCGACTAATCGATTAGTCGGCCTAATATATCAATCAGAGGGAAGTTTTTTGTTTTACTTACAAATGAGCTTTGTCAGAGCACCAACACCAGTTTTCAGAAAGCACACTAACCAGAAAACAGCTTTCATTTTGGTCTTTTGGACTCAATGAAAATTAAGTCTCACTAGCAAGTGCATCCGACAGAGACATAAGCATTAATGAAGACCCTCTATTGCGTTCGTGATTCACACAGTCAAAGCTCAAAGCATGACTATCTACTGGGCTGCCTGCCTGACACTAGTGCCGATCCACTTCGCCATCCAACTCTGTCTATCGCTTCTGAAGGAAAAGGACTATTAACCAGCCACATCAAAAGGACACGTCACAGAGAGGAAGAAGGCTAGAAAGGGAAGAAACAGGGTAGCGGGGTGCTCACAACTGTGATCATCCTCTTTTAAAAGATAAGAACGACAGCAACATCACGAGTGCACGAGGGGAACTGCCATCAAACAGCGGTCGGGTAAAGGCTGTAAACTCCGCTGCTTTTATCTTCCTGAATGCTCGACAACCTCCAGGTGTCTTTAATGTGACCGCTGATTACTCCTTCCGCACTTTTCAAATGTCTTCCTGCGAGACAAACAGCGGGTTCAAACTCCAGCCTGTTTTACATTTATAACTGTTTGGCAAAGACAAGCTTCTTCCGCCGACAGAGCAGAGGGTTCCTCTTCCACAGATGAGGCGGCCCGAAAATGTACTGTACGTCATAAATGTACAACCAGATATTACCTGACCTTTCACATACTTCATCACCTGATTTCCTGCTGGGGAGACACCGACACACACACGTATCATCGGCCATCCACATATCTAGTTTACATCATGCTGCCAGTCTGATAGCAAAGGGAGAAACGATAGAACAATGAGAGCGGCGTGTGAATAAATTTCACTCCTCGCCATGCCACATTAGGCTCTCAGACAGCGGCACGCGGGGAAAGGCGCAGGACCCTCCATCCAGGCAGAGCTTTCAAGTCTCCCTCTTTTATTCAGCAGACGAGACAACGACAAGCAGTTTAATCCACGCTGCTTTGTCTCAGAATAATCATTAAAATGCTCGCAGTGATGCAATGCAGGCTTCGGCCAAGGCAACAGAAAAAAATCATTAATGGACAATATCTGCCAGAACCAGAAGTCATAGTAGTAGAGATTTTGAAATCAAAACACAAGTGAGAAAATGGGCTGCGATGAAGAGCGTCGGCCCCCGGCTTGTTTCAACTGAGGGGAGCATGATGTGCATGAGGAGATCATTCGTATTTGAGAAGAACATGAATGAGTGCTGACTTTTTGGGCCAGGGCCCTGCTCACGCCTTATCTTGCTAACCTCACTGTCAGCTGCAAGCCCGGGCTGCACGAACATCCGAAGCCTTTTACACACTTGAATTTTTAAAAAAAATCAGCAGCGTGTAGTTCAAGTATTCAAGGTGATGGAAACTTTCAAGACCACACTGAATCCGAACACTGGATATTGTTAAGCAGAATAAGGGTGCACAGATGTGGAGACAAACACTGGTTTTATAAACTTCAGAATGATGGACGCTGTGCAAAAGGCGCATTAAACCCTTGTTATAGGAATAGGGTGCAAGAATAGGGTACAATATGATGACAGTTTGCGTCACTGAGGCCACATTACGACCCCGTAATCAGTGCCAGTGTGTCGATGCAAGGCGACGCAGGTAAACAGGGGAGGAAAATCTGTCAGAGGGACTTCGCTCGCGACTGCTTCTTTTCCGGGTTCAACCCGCGTCAGATGAGGGCTGTCACCATTGTCCTAGTTTACTCTGCTGTGACCCCCCCACCCCACCCCACCCCCTCCTTTCTTCCCAACTGGCTGTTACAACGTTGCACTTAATAATGAACGACAATAGATACGCAGGCCGTCACTTGGTACCGAGGAGGAGAGCCTTAAATGTGGGGGGTGTTTCTCAATCAGCATACAGGTCAGAAAAAGGTACAGATACACAAAACACAATAAGTAGCATTTAGCCCTATTTGTCCCCTTTTGAAGTTTGAACCAAAAAAAAAAAAAGTAAGACGTCTTTAGGCGCGTGACAAACAGCTCACTTGACATGTTTGGAAAGATACATCCCAACAATACAACCGAGGCTACATTTGTAGCAACATTTCTTGACAAACAACGCAAAGAAGCTAAGTGCGTGAATGTGCGTACATGTGGGGGAAGACCAAACTCACCAGGGGTCAAACTCGTGAATGATGCTCTCGAAGCGAATGACAGCGAAGAGCCGGGCGCTGAAACCGGCCAGCCAGGCCAGGAACAGGATGGTGAAAGACAGCAAAGACTGCCACCCAGCCGGCTGCGACAGGCCGCCGGACAGACCTCCTCCTCCTTGCCCGGCGTTGCTGCCTCTCTCCGCCACCACCGCCGTGCTGCTGCGTCCGTTCCCCGAGTACGACGCTCCAGAGTTCAGCAAGGATTTGTGTTTGTTGTCGGAGACCGGGTGATGCTCCGCCATATTCTACGTCAGTCCCGTCGTGGCGGGCGAGCGAAGAGAGCTATCTGGTATCACACAGGAAAGACCCCCCCCCCCCCCTCCAACCTTTTTTTTCCTTTTTCGCTGCCACGCTCCTCTTCCGAAACCGCTTGCACCAACTTCCCTTCTAGCCCCGTACCCCCCCTAAAACGCCAGCTGTAATTGCTAACCTTACTTCCCACTAACCGCAAAACCAGCTAACATAATCCCGAGGAGTCACATAGTAGCGCTGATTTTCAGCATACTGGAAGTGTCACATGCGGCTCCAGCAGTTGCTCCTTCCTTTCTTGGGAGCTGGATGAAGGGGCGGGAGCTGCGCGCGGAGCAGGAAGAGCTGTCAGCCTCTCACAGCGAGACAGGTACGGCCAAGGGGGGACGCGGCTCCGGGAGGAGCCCAATCCCACAATAGAGCGCGCCTGACGGACAACCGGAACGACCAATGACAAAAGAACCGCCTGACACGCCGAAGACGCTCTGAAGCGAAGACGTCGGGTGACGGACAGCGGGAAGAGCGTATGGCACGCGAACAGCGCAGGGGCGCTGGAGTCGCGCGAGCCAATGATATCAATGAATTTCACTGAAACTATGCATTGACGGAGCCAGAGCTAGTATGACAGGGCTCAGTAGCGGGGCTGTGAGCCAACCTTAGGCCCTGATGGAAGCCAGTTCGTTACTTATCAACTCCGGAAGTACGGAGCTGTAATTCACTAATGGAGATACGCAGCCTAGATGTCAACAATAAGCCATTTGTTTCAACAAGCTCGTGCTGCTGTGAACAACCATTTTCGTTTCCACAGGGGGTGTAACTATACTTTATTATCAGTTAATAAACAATTAGCTATTTCTTAATTGAACAATTATAAGCCATTAAAGAGTTACTCCAGCAATTTTGTATTGCACTTACTTAAAGTTAGGGGACTCACAAAAGACACATCGAAAAAGTAAAGAACAATAATAATATATAATAAGAAGAATTAGTTTCTTTGTAGCTCAATAGTTAAATCCACTCATTAAATCCATCATATGTTATTCTATTCTATCACTTTGCATGCTCTGAAAGCAGCAGTGCGTCTCGGACATGAGTCAAAAGACTTACAATACTTTTATTTACCGAGCAGGAAACATCTCCACTGTACCCACGAACACAAAGCTGGATTTTCTCCAGCATTTTGGAGAATCTGAGACCATTAGATTAGGCGTCCCTATTCTCACAGAAAGAAAACGAGGAGAGAGATACTATATTGAGGTGAAAAGAGCTCAGCAGCCCGGAGAGGAGCTGGAGGAGCTTGATAATTCATCGAGTATCTGCTGAAGCAGACGGGAAGGCTGTGTGAGCCCAGAGACATGTTTGGAGTCCACAATGAGGTTCACCTCCACGCTGAACCGAGTCGGCCCACCACAGAGGGTTGTGGCTCCAATGTGCAGGACTAGCCACTGTTCCAAGGTTTTACAGAGAATTAACCTCGAGGATGCGAACATATATTCTTTTATCCATTTCAATTTCTGGACCGTTGTAAATGCTTCGTCGTTCTGATAACTTTTCATGATGTGCTCTTTTGAAATCCTTCCTCTAGAACAGTGAGAGGAATGAGCAAACATGGGCGGATCGGTCTGGGGTTTACCTCACAGCTTCCTGTGGTGCGGTGGATCTGGATATTCTGATTGAAATACTTAGTGTTTTGTTGGTCTATCAGGCCTTCCTGTGTACTTTGGCTTTCTTAGAAAAACCCCGAAAACCTATTTTCTCAATCAAGCAGTGATAAGGTCTCACGTCAACACAAGTTTGGATTGCTTCAGATCAGGGATGTTTTTTGGGTTTTTTTTCTGGCGCGCTTCTCACTGGTTTGAAGTAGGAGGGACTGCTGTTTGGCAACTGTTAATCAAACCACATTGAGTTTTAAACTTTTCGAATCTTTATGGGAAAGACATATTTCCATCAGTGGATTTAAATCTGTTCAAACAAAAAAGAGTTCAAGTTCCACAAGGATCAATTCTTTTTGAATTATACTTTATATTCCTGCTTATTATGTTAAGGAAACATAATATCCTGACATCGGCCACATATTTGTCTCTCCTCTGATTCGTCTCCTATAAACAGGCTGGTGTACTGTATTGTTAAAGAAATTAAAAAAAAAACATTTACAGTTGAATAAACACGTAATGCTTGAAGAAAGTCTTCAAAACCAGAGACAGGAAACTGGTTTCACGCTGAGAGTCAGTCAGGAACCATATGAGTAATCTTCTGATCTTAACTTTAAAAGGGAGGTCAGTAACTAGGGCACAACTTTGACAGTATCCCATGGTGCATCTGTGCATGCAGGTTGGTTGCACATGCATTGCGGTGTAGAAGCACATTGAGTTTAGTCGTAATGAAAAGTGTTTCTACGTCCTTCGTATGTAAAAACAGGCGACGTGCGCCCACGAGCGAGGAATAGAAAGAGATCGAGGACGTTCTGCGGCTAATAATAACGAAGGACATTTTATTCTTGGAGCCAAATGTATCTCATGCACTATATCCTTCCTCGCATGAATTGCCTTCCTCTTCTTTGCAGTGTCTGCAAAACACACACAAGCCTGCACAAAACTGTGACACACTGCAGGAGAGATGGGGGAGGATTCTTATTGAGGTTGACCTGTATTTTCCTGTGTAGTCTCATATCCCAAACTCAGCTCTACAGATGATGTACAAGGTAGTATAGTTAGAGTTAAAATTAAAGTTTAAAGTTACTTTTGCAGAAGTCAACAAAACTAATTGAAGTGGGGCAAACGTGTAAGATTTAGTGGTTAAACAATCTAACTGCAAATGTCCTGTCTTCATTTCTTAAGAAACAAAGTCCGCCTTAAACCAAGATTAAAGTTACAGATTATATAGACTGCATTACAAGGAAGCCAATATCTTCTCCTCACTTCATTTGCATAATGTGGTGTATATGAAAGTAACACCAAAGATAGATTGGTTTCATTTTTCACATCCGATGGTGGACAAATCTTTTTGTTTTAGAAACTGTTTCATTTAAACGCAGGCCTGAGCCTTTTAACGCCTTTTAACGCCTTTTAACACCTCTTTATCTTCTAGTTAATACCAAACCTGTTGGAACTAGAGCCTGAGATTGGACCCTATACCCCCTGTGGATTTAATGCAACTTCTGCGTTCCTCCTCAGCAGACCCTCTTAACTTTAATGATCGATTGATGTTTGAAAAAGAAAAAAAGAAAAGGCATTGACCTTAAAGGGGTCATGTCATGAAAACTCCCCTTTTTCAGCGCTTCTGCACTTACCGACCCAACAAACTGCTTTCTGTGAGCTGCCTGGATCAGAAAACATGTGATTGAACAAGTCACTTGCAGGCCCATATCTGGCAGCGCCCACGTGAACAGACTGATAACATCGCCGTTGTATTAATCCTGCACTACATGTTTGAGCAGCGGCTGCTATTAGAGTAATTAATGAAGTGGGGGAGAGTGACCTTTGCGGCTAATGAGACCAATTCATTCATTTGTCATTTCCATTCATCTCTGCAGAGGCGGCCATCTTGAAACTGAAACACATGACGCAGTTTGTGGTGAGCTGTGCTCCTGCTGCAAGCGCGGTGGTAAACCATCGTAGTTTACACTTACGAGTAAAGGTGTGACAAAGCTTTCAGTTGCATGAGATCCCTCATCGTGGAGAGAGGCCCTTAGAGTCCCATTTTAGCACCGACACAGCTTGTTCAGCTCGACTGATTTTACACACACACACACACACACACACACACACACACACACACACACACACACACACGCCCACACACACAGCGTTAGAATGCTTGTTGATACGATGAGAGTTGTGTTTGTTTGTTTCTCGGTTTAACTAACATAAAAACAAAGAATGTAACCTGATTGGTGGATCTATTCTCATTCACCCTCACTAGCACTGCTCCAAACCCCCCCTACTTGATCATGCTTTGTTTTACCTCTTTAGGCCATAAAATGTACATTTGTTGATTATTGGCAATAATTATTAAAGGGGACACATCATGTTCACGATCAGAGAACATGTTGTTTAACAAGCCTCCATGTGAGTATGTCCTCACAAGGCTTTTGAACTACCTCTGCTAAGGTGAGACATATTTTTCTGACAGTAGAATGGACTTTTTTTTCGTGCAGGGGTCTTAAAGAGACATGCGCTAAAACGGAGAATTTATACAGATAGTAAATACAGGTATTTTCAGACTGACAATATAAGAAAAATAAAGTGTGTTTTGAACATTAAAGCATATAAACATGTTCTAGTAGAAATCTAAAATATAAGTATGAACCTGAGAATGAGCTTGACATGACCCCTTTAAACAAAAACATTGGCCAGCTACATCCTGTTACCTCATAATCTCCATTATTAAGCATGCTAGCAGACAACTGCCCTGAGGAAACAAATGAAAGTTTAGGAATACATATAAAAATACGACCATTAATTATGCTTCTTGCGTATCCAATTTTTAAAAATATTTCAACATAAGAAATAAAATAAGCCTATATGTGGGGGAGGGGGGTCCATACTTACCAACAGTCTCACTTTGGTTTGCACAGACACTACAACTTTGTAATGCAGTACCATTTTCAGCCACCAGATGGCAACCCAAACAATTTCTTTGTTTTTACTGTGGTCAGGGCCAGGATGTTAACTCAAGATGAACCTATATCTCCGTTTTTAGGAATTTATTTTTGACAGTATCAAGATGTAACATCGTGTTAGGCTGCACACATGTACAGAGAGTGACATCAGAGACTGCTGTTTGTGTGTAGAGGGACAGCTTTAAGGCTAACTGGCCTCTATGCGAGGATGCGGTGTGGAGGATGCACAGGCAGGCCTCACACCACCCTCATCCTGCCCACTAGACCTCAGAGGTGTACTTCTTTTCATATGTCACAGGTATTACTGTATTCTATCGGTCAAATTTTTCTTGACTTTGGCAATCAATTTGTTCCTAATGACTTCATGTCATT